GTTACGTTACGTACGTTACGGTTAGTTACGTTACGTTACGTTACGTTACGTACGTTACGTAGTAGTACGTAGTAGTAGTACGTAGTAGTACGTAAGTAGTACGTAGTAGTAGTAGTAGTAGTAGTAGTAGTAGTAAGTAAGTAAGTAAGAAGAGAGAGAGAGAGAGAGAGAGAGAGAGAGAGAGAGAGAGGAGTGATGGGAGGACTAATCCAAACAAAAATCATTGGAGAGAATTATGAGACCCATGTTCAGTACTTCAAGTATACATTGTTTTGACTTGATCTTTTCAAAAGGTGATCTTTTTAACCAGATTTGCATCCTTTCATCTTTGTTAACAGGTGGGTGTGACGCTCATTTGGGATGTTACAGTTGTGGGATGGGAAGTGAACTACAAGGAAGAATTTGTTCCAGCTGATGAAGGATCATACACCATTGTTATTCAGAAAGAGAAGAAGATGGGTTCTCAGGAAGTGCCTGTTCGTAACTCTTTCAGGATCAACGAGCCCGGAAAGATCACATTTGAGTTCGAGAACGCTTCTTTCAGGAGGAAGAGGGTCCTTTACAGGTTTAAAGTCTCCAGTTCAGAGAGGAGCCCATGAGTGAGAGAGCAGTTCTTCGAGGAGCCCATGAGAGAGAGAAAGAAAGAGAGAGATCCTCTACTGGATGTGGTCTGATTTAGAAAGAGGGAGTTTTGGTTGTCTTTTGGGATGGGGGAAGTATTCTTTATTGTTAGGAGTTCATTCTTTGACAGGGCAAAAAACTTATCAGAGTATTTTGCAGCTGTGGTATCTCTTTATTCTTTTTCTATGAATTGGTATTATTTCTTATTTGATTTTATGTATCATTCAATAAAGTATTATACGATAGAGTGAATATTGGCTGGAGAGGTTTGTGTTTCCATTTGTGAGTCCAAACCCAGAGGCCTTGAATCAGACCGATTCAGATTTACATGGTCTTTGGGTTTGGTTTATGTCTAACAAAAAGAAGAAGCTAAAACTTGCAAGAACCAGGCAATTTTAGGGTTTTCTAAATTAGAACAACCAAGTGCGTAGCTCTTGACCCGTTCTAAGTCTGCTCAGCAATTTTTAAATCCCTCCATAAATTAGTTACAGTAATAGCATTGAATATTGTAACCTCACACATATACACACAGATTCTATGTGTGTGCGCTTGCGCACCTAACTAGTTTTCGATGGATATTCTGGGCATGGTTTTTATGTGGGTTAGCCCGCTAACCTACATAAAGTTTCCACCGTCCAACTTGGTTGGATGATGGAGATTTTATGTGGGCTAGTTGAAGCATTTTGCATTGAAGCCATGTATCACCTCTAGAATTTCCCTCGGCTTGGAAATCACCTCAGACAATTCAGACACATGAGGGCACACATCTTGGTCACATAGGTTCTGAGGGTAGTGGGTGCCACATTATGTTATCTTGAATTTTATTTTCACAGTTAATATTTATAAATAAATTATATAGAAATGACTATATAAATAGGTAGACTAATATACACACTAATAAATAAGGGGAATGTTTCTATAGGACTCACCCACAGAAAAAATATGCGACTGTTACTTTCCAGCTGTCAGACAAAGGAACGGCTGGGATAACACCAATTAAAATACACTAATTCGAAACAAACTTGGCAACCGGCTCTCAACCGTTGCCCTTCCCTTACCCATCCCACCTATCACGCACCCATTCTCTCTCTCTCTCTCTCTCATACTCAATCTCTTTCTAATCTCATTATCTCTCTCTAACTTTGCATTCCTCATCCGTAGCAAACCCTAACCCTCTCAATTGCTTTCTCTCACTAGCAAAAATGAGAGAAAATAAGAAGAGGAAGAGAAGAGAGCAGCAGCCACACAACCACTATCTTGCTCTATCTAGCAAAAACGAGAGGAAGAGGAAGAGGAAGCGAGGAGAGCAACAACAACAATAACTAACTTGCTCTCACTCTCTAGTAAAAATGAGAGGAAGAGGAACAGAGCAAAATTGAGAGGAAGAGGAAGAGGAAGAGGAAGAGGAAGAGAGGAGAGCAGTACCAACAACAACTATCTTACTTTCTCTCTCTAGCAAAAACGAGAGGAAGAGGAAGACCAGAGAGCAGTAGCCACAACAACTATCTCGCTCTCTCTCATTACTCATATGTATGTTCTAATTGCATGTTTTCTGTCAAAAGGTAAAATATCAATGGATTTAGCTAATTAAAAAACTAATTTTTGTTTAGCTAACTAAAAAACTTAAAAGACCAATGGATTCCACAATTAGATACGGTTGATCATCCCTATTCTCCACTTGTTTGTGCATAATATACACTCTCAATGTTTCCAAGTCCACTTGCTATTTGTGCATAGTATATGGTCTCTCCTACGAATTTTTATCTTTATAATTCTTCTCTCCTTGTAAAGTTTTAATATTAGTATATGAAATTCTAAAGAGATGCTGTTTTTTTTGTTGCAGATTAATTCCATGGAGCTTGAGTGTCAAGAATCATCTCTCTCCCTGCTCTATTTTTTTCGTGTTTTTTTGTTTTTTTTGAGTTTTGTTGCTATTTAAATCGTGGTAACTACTTAAATTGGAATCAAATTCAGCAACAATCTTGTGAAATTTCGATGTGTGTCAATATTGATTAACGATTGACTCAATATGTCGAAGGTGCAATTTTTATTCTCCTTCTTAATCCATTTGGATCTTTTATATACAACAACTCCACTTACAAATGGAAAAGAATACTATGATGCATGTGGTTCACACCAATTGGTAAAACTTCTCATTTCAATATGGACAAATAAACAATGTTCTAGCGATCCTTGAATTCCAACTTAGAAATCTCTTACTAGTGGTTATTACTTTAAAGATGTGAGATTCATGTCAATTTTTTGGAAATGTCGCTTTTACATATTTCAAAAAACGTCTCCTCAGCCATTAGCTGCTAAAATTTCATCAATCTATGATGTTCAAATTTAAGGAGGATGATGAACTAGCATTAACCCCAAGCAATGTTAGAATTGTAATATTTTACCCAAAAATTAGTTGCCTTACCCAAAGTTGTGAACTCAATGCTTAGCTGAAAATTGCTAATTTTACAATCGAAGGCAGAGAGACAGAGAAAATTAGAGAGAGAGAGACGAACTTTACAATCAAAGGCAAAGGCAGTGAGAGAGAGAGCTTTCTTTTTCTTCAAAAAGCAAACAAAACAAATTTAGAGAATCTAATAGTAGACGTTCACACCTGGACTACTTTTAAAATCCACAAAAAATCACCTCCTCAACCACTCAATATATAAAAAAACAAAAGAAGTGAAAGCTAGACCAGTAGAACATTTGTTCATTTCATTTTTGGTCCTTCAAAAAAGCAAAAGGCATAAAACATTATAAACACAAAACTTTAACTAAAATCAAAATATTCAGATTACCCCCAAAAAGAAAACTTTCTTAATTAATCAAATCGATTTTTATTATTTTGTTTGTGATGAACAAACCACATCCCAAACCACAAGCACCAATTACCCAAAAAAGAAACTTTCTTAATTAACCAAATCGATTGATATTATTGTGTTTTTGATGAACAAACCACAACCCAAACCACAAACACCAATTACCCAAAAAAAAAAAACTTTCTTAATTAACCAAATCAATTATGAACAAACCACAACCCAAACCATAGCACAAATTGAAGCAAATATTGACAGAATGCAAATTGAAATTTTGTCTTTTGATGAACAAACCACAGCCCAAACCATAGTCCAAATTCAAACAAATATTGACCTGCAAATATTCACAGAACAAAGAGGAACCACAACCCAAATTGAAGCAAATCTCTGAAGCTTCGCTGGTACTATTTCCACTTACAACATGGAGCGGTAGTCCACCCCATCTCTCTTAAAACTAGCGATGCCCTCTATTTACAAACCTAACTCTCCATTGTTGAAATGGCAGTAGATCACCCCTCTCTCTCAAAAGTAGAGATGCTTTTTACTTTTTTAATTAATTTTTTTGTTTATAATATTTGTAAACATAAACCTTCATTATTGAAGTGGCAGTAGTCCACCCTTTCTCTCTCAAAACAAGTGATAATTAGCAATGCCCTCCATTTGCAAACCTAACCCTCCTTTATTGAAGGGATTGACAGAGGGGTAGGTTCCTGTAGCTTCTTTCCATTTGACAAAGGGTTAGGGTGTTACTGCGAGTAGGGTTAGAGAGACAATGGCATGTATAGGGAGAGAGAGTATGGTGCGAGACTCTTGTACCCTAAAAAAAAGAAGAAAAGGTTACCGTAGCGGCTGAGAGCGGGTTCCTAAGTTCAAACCTAATTTTGTGACATTGGGACAAATATTATCCCAACCGTTCATTTAGATTTGATGGCTACAAAAATAACAATCACCTATGTGGGTGGGGTGGGTTCAAATAGAATTCGCCCCAATAAGTAAACATCAATTGCATTCGTATGCAATGCAAGCTGCATACTACCCATCTAACGAATGGGGTGGGGTGGGGTGGGGTGGGGAGGGGAGGCGCTAGCAAACTATGGCATTCGCAAGTGTTTTTATTGTCGAACCGGTCACCAGTCGATTCGATCTCTACCAGTGAACCGGATCGAAAAGAACTGGTCCGTTCCCTAGGTAAGATCCAAGAGAGTCCCAGGGTCTTTTCAGCTGCAATGGTCACACTAGATATGCTTCATAGAGAAACACTCATTTCCACTGTCCATTATTGAATGTAATGGTGATGACATCTACCAAAAAAAAAAAAAAAAAAAAAAATAAGTGGCGATAGCATACGTAAACTTATCAATGGGTTCGATGGTGATAGAGGTAAAGTTGTGTCTGCGAATGAAACAATGATACGTATCGTCGGACCTAATATCTCTGTTTATCACCTTGTACACCGTTTGGTTAGATGGTAACTCAAATATTGTTTAAAATCATATAAATAAATACTTTGCGAACGAAGGAATGACTTGTGGGTCGCGTGGCCTAATGGATAAGGCGCTCGCCTCCGGAGCGGGAGATTGTGGGTTCGAGTCCCACCGCGATCGGAAATTGTTTTACTATTTTTTTATAAGAAATTGATTCGATAATTTTTCACTTGTGTCACTCGACCATTTTTTTTTTTTTTAAGAAATTGATTCGATCATTTTTCACTTGTGTGACTGGACCATTTTTCCACTTCGTGAAAACTCCATGTACCATATGTTTTACTATTTATTTTTTTATAAGAAATTGATTCGATCATTTTCACTTGTGTGACTCGACCTTTTTGTTTGAAAGAAATTGATTCGATCATTTTCCACTTGTGTGACTCGACCATTTTTTCACTTCGTGAAAACTCCATGTAAGTTTTCTATTCCCTTTTTTAATAATTGGTTCCTTGCTTGAAATTGACCCATTATTTTTGGCTTGGTGACTCTTACCATTTTCGACTATCGAATGTGAAAGGAAAGTATATGTTGTATATTCGGTTAATATGGAAGGTGTACATTGTAATAAGTAAATATGGGAAGGGTAGGTCCACTGTGTATATTATAATTAAAAAGAAAGCTTTCTATGCTCTCTCTAAAACATAGAAGTTCTATCCTCCCCCTACTATCCAACCGTCTATTTTTGATCAAAAGAGCCGTTCACTGTTTGATTTTGACATCTCAAAGTATTTTATTTTTAGTTTTTTTAATACAATTTTTCTGAGATAAAATTTGGTAAGTGTCATCTTCTCTTTGGGGCGCACCTATAAAAAATATTAACAATAAATTTTGATAAAAAATAATGACCAAAATACCCTTTGAAAATTTCAGGGGTATTTTGATCATTTTATTTTATCGAAAATATTTTTTTATATTTTTCGTTAGTACGAGTTTAATAGAGTAATGGGCATCCAAAATTTG